ACTATTATGGTGGATACATGTCATTATACATTTGTCAAAACGCATAGAATGTGCAACGCTAAGAGTGAATCCCAATGTAAACTATGGACTTTAAGTGATCATAACGTGTCAATGAAGGTTCACAGATCGTAACAAATTTACCACTCTGGTGGGGATGTTGATAGTGGGAGAGGATGTGAGTACATGGGGGCAGGGGGTTTATGTGAAATCTCTATACATTCTGCTCAATTTTCCCGGGACTCAAAAACTACTCTAAAAAATAGTCTATTAAGAAAAAAATAATGACAACATCAAAAGCTGGCAAGGATGCAGAGAAACTGGATCACCACTGGTGGTAGAAATGTAAAATGGCAATTTCTCAAAAAAACTAAACATGCAACTGCCATATGACCCAGCAATGCTGACCTGGGCGTGTATCCCAGAGAAATGAAGATTTATGTCTGTACAAAAACCTGTACGTGAGTGTTTATAGCATCTTTATTTGCAATAGTCCCAAACTGGAGACAACCTAAATGTCCAGCCACAAGTGAATGATTAAACAAGCTGTGGTGCATTCATACTGTGGAATACTATGCAGCAATCAAAAGGAGCAAACTGTTGTACACACAAGAACCTGGATGAATCTACAGAGAATTATGCTGAGCTAGAACAATTTTAAGAAAGCAATCCCCAAAGGTTCTACACTGTATGGTTCCATTAATATGACATTTTTTAAATGATAACATTATAGAAAGAGATAGATTAATGGTTGCCAGGGGTTAAACAGGAGGCGGGAACAAGAGGGAAATGGACAAAGCTATATGAAGGCAACTTGATGGGTTTTTGTGGTAATGAAAATGCTCTGTATTTTGACTGTATAATGTCAATATCTTGATTGTGACATTGTACTATAGTTTTGCAAGATGTTACTGTTGAGGGAAACTAAAGTAAAGGGTACACAAGATCTCTGTGTAATATTTCTTACAACTGCATGTGAATGTACACTCATCTCAAATAAAATGTGAATTAAAAAAATTGAATGAAGTGAGCCTGTCACTACAAGGAAGACGGTACTTGTTGCCAAAGATAAGATTTAAGCTTTTGAGCAAAGATTAGAATTTTGGAAAATGTGTTTCCGCCACTGTGAACGTCAACTTCTCAGGACTTAAAGACTTTTTTATGAGATCAGTAGTGATATTGACTAATGTTATGCTTTGTTACTGTGTAACGAAATGTGCCAAAAGTTATAAGAGCTGAAAAACTCAGTGAACCAATATTTTGTAAATGATCAATCTACAATATTGCAAAATCACGCATAGCTGAAAGAGCCATTCAAAATATAAGACAGATGAATGATAGATGTACTGGACAGAGTACAAAAGGTCATTGATATGACTTCAGATTCCAATCACAACCAGCGTTTAAGAAATTACCATTTGTCAACTTTTACTATAGTATTCAAAAAGAATATCCACAATTACCTTTTCCAACTATGAATCTGTGTGAGGTTAGATTTTCTTCTTATCCTTCATCTAAAATAATATATCACAATAGACTGAATGGGGACACATATATGAGAATTTGGTTGTTTCCTATTAAGCCGGACAGTAAAGATTTGCAAAAAAAGTGTAAAACAACATCCCTCTTTTTGCTTAATTTTCTTTTATTTTGGAAAATATAGTTATTTTTCATAAAAATATTATTTATGTTAACATGAATGGGCTTATTATTTTTTAATAATTATTAAAGACATACTTTTAAATCTTCCTATCTTGAATTTCTAATAAGGTAAGATGTGACAAATGTAATACTCATAAGCGAAAGCTCTTTGGGGCCATTGATAATTTTTAAGAGTAAAAATTTGGGTCTTGAGACCCAAAACTTTGAAAACCACTGTTCTAAGAGTTTTAAGTTTTCATGTTAATCATAGCTGGAGATTCAAACTAACTCTAAACCAAGCTCATGTACCAAAGGGCTTATGAAAGAAAACAAGAGGGCGGCCAATTTGGGAGGGAGGGGTCCAAGGAGAGAAAGAGAGCTGTCCTACTGCCCCTCCCTACATTGAGACAGGGCGGCATGTCTCGATGCCCATTGCCATTGGGTGTTTCCAGTGGGTTTCTAGGGAATCACTGGAGAGGCCACACACTTGCCCCCAAATAAAGGATCAGTAATTTGGAAAGCTGTCTCCAGTTGCTGCTTTCCTTTTTATAGACAATATTATACTTCCAGAGGAGCCCAAATTGCTTCCCCTCCTTTATTTTTATTTTTTTACTTCTCCTCCTTTAAAAACAAAAACACAAACAACATTTCACTAATTAGACTTTTACCAAAATAATGATTTATAGTATATCCAGCTATTTACAGAGAAGATCCATTTATAGAAGAATGAAGCGGTTGTAATATATTTTAGGTGAAATCCATGACAAAGAATCCTTTTTAATTTCATTTGCTGGCCATATCGTTGAGTTAATCTTCAAAATGCATGTTGCTAAAAGGGGAAAGAACAATTGATGACTTAATTTCTAAATTTAAAAACTGTCATTTAAATGAATCACAATGAAAGAGTCTAATTTTTAAATGAAGTGTCATCAGCAGTCCCCTGGCATCCCTCCCAGCTGGCAGGCAGCCCCGGCCCTGGCTCCAGGAAGATGCACTGGCCTGCGTTATTCAGATGCTAAAACATTAGGGTGAGCACACACTGCAGCCTCAGAAAGAGGGTCATTCTGATTTAAAATCTATACTAGATCTTGGGGGCTGGCCTTGTGGCCAAGTGGTTAAGTTCGCACGCTCTGCTTCGGCGGCCCAGGGTTTCGCCAGTTCGAATCCTGGGCGTGAACATGGCACCACTCATCAAGCCATGCTGAGGCGGTGTCCCACATGCCACAACTAGAAGGACCCACAAGTGAGAAAAAAAAATACACACTATGTACTGGGGGACTTTGGGAGAAAAAGGAAAAATAAAATCTTTAAAGAAATAAAAATAAAAATAAAAAATAAAATCTATACTAGATCTGAAGGCTCTGTTATCGGTGAATTAACTATAGAAATGCCCCAATGAAGGAAAATGTAAGTTGATTGCCTACTCTTCGAAATGTGTTTAAATGACCCAGAGGCAAAACGGTTCTGTTGTAATATTGTGGTGGTTGTGGTTGTGTGTGTGTGTGTGTGTGTGTCCACTTAATGGCCCCACCATGTCCCTGATACTCTGATAGTTCTCCACTTTATTGACTGACTTCTTTCTTTCTCTTCTCTGTGTTTTATAATTTTCTTTAATTCCTTCCAATTTTTGCTTCATAATCCGGCCCTTATAATAGTGCTTACATTTTCCAGTTTCCAGAGGAATATTCCAGCAGTCCCATCCACCAGCTAATGGCTCCTCTCCTCCCTAACCACTCCTCCACCTTCCCTACTCCCACCCCCAATTGCATCCCTACTGGCACAGGGGACCACGCCTGCAGGCACAGCTTCCGTCAAATTAGCCTACTGGGTCATTGGCTGATCTGTTCCTTTTATTTTGAGACACAAAATAAGCTGGAAATATGTTTTTTAAAAAACAACTTGCATATATTTTAAGTACTTTTCTAATAAGCCTCTTGAAGTAATTGATCCATTGCCTTATGATTAGCTTTAAATATCTTCTTGTTGAGGAAATATGGGAATAAAACTATTTGCTTTCTGTCCATTGTCATTCTCCATCTTTTGACTAACTTTGCAAGCAAATTTAGTGTCTTGATCTGTTTGTCCACTTAAAAAAAAATCATAGCCTTAAAATATAGTATGTCTTGAATAATCATTTTTCTTAAGAAAATATACTCTTGCTTTAACTAACTGCAGTGTTTTTAGTTTCAGAGATACTTTAATTGAGCGTGTTTTTCCTTTAGTTTCACTAGTAATTTTCAGACTCTATTTTGAACGAAATACACCTGGAGGAAATTTAAAGATTTACTTTTAATTGATGTTCAGATCATATGCCATTTTCTCTGTGCTCTTTTGTGAGTGAGAATACAAATCTGCATATGAACCTCTGTGCTGTCTACTGGTGAGGTACATAGTGGCTGCTGGGGCCCAGGTGAGTTCTGCCCTTCAAAATGGAGGCTTTCCTGCAGGACATGCCCTTCCCCTGAAGGGTGCTGCCTTGCCCAATTATCCATTCCCTCTGGGTGGAGGGGGGAGCCCCAATTCAATGGCTGTTGATGTGGGGAGTACAAGGGCCTGGCCTCATTGCTTGAGTTCAGGATATGTCTAAGGGGCCATCCCAGCTCCAGAGCTCCCTGTAGGGCAGTGGAGGTTGGGGGTGTGGCAGGCCCTGAGGCCTTAACTGCAATCGCCTCACAGTCCAACCTCACCCCCTGCTCAGTCCCGCATCCCTCACTCCACTACAGGAGTTCCCAAGTGCACTCCCCAATAAACATCCTGTATGCAAATATCCATCTCAGAGTCTGCTTCCTGAGACCCATCTGGGACAGGATAGTCTCAAAGTCTATTGCCACTTAGAGACTCTCTGAAGCAAGACTTTAAACCCTCTACTTGAAAACCTTGCCTTAGAGTTACTTACTGCTCATGGAGCCAGAATTAGTTATCTTCTTCAATGGAAAAGCCATAACTATGCCAGTACCCTTTGCTACAAGCCTGAGCTCAACCACCACCAAGACACCTTTGGACCCAACACTGACAGATCATCTGTCCCCTTGATCAGGAAGACTGGCATTTGTAGGCAAAATTAGTTGTGCCTTTTAGGAGCATCACAGACCCTCACTCCAGGAAAAAACGCACAACCATACACAATTTCAGACACAATTATAGGAGGATATTAAACTCCCTCCCCAAAAGTCTCCATGTACTCCAGTTTAAGAACCATTCATTTGTAGTGAAGGGAACAGGAACTATAGTCTCAGAGCAGTTGTCCCCAGTATAGAGAATGAAGAGAAGGTTAAACAAAAAGAAAGAAAGAAAAGTGTATATAAAAAAAAATCCTAATTCTTCTTCATATGATTCATCGATAGGTTTTGAATAGCCAAATATCAGACTCCACTTACATTTCTCACAGTCATATCTGCTGTTTTTGAACTTGCGTTTTGACGGTATCTCTTTCTGGTACAATAGACACTGACGAGGGTGACTATGAGCATCAGGGCAAACACACCGGCAGTGGAAGAAGCAGCAATGATAACGGTGTCACGATGGGAGCCTCTCTTCTCACACCTTTCTCCCATGTACCACCAGTCTTCCCCTGACGGACACCTACACATTCAGAGCATGACTCAGAGTTCTCAGCTGATATTTTAAATCTGAAAATCTTCACCATTAAAGATATAGGTCAACATTCAGGTCATTGACATGGATGATGGAATGATTTTGCCCACTCTAGTCCAGAGGGGGATGGTTAGACTGGCACCAGAGGCCAGGCAGGGCCAGTGGATAGGAGCAATGGAATGACTTCTACTCTGGTACTTCAAACAGCAGCTCCGAGGTGGGAAAGGAGGTGAGTGTGGGTAAAGGAGAAAATTTAGTTCTCAGTGTCCCCTCCACCTCCCAGCTAGACACCTTGGTCAAGCTCGTCTCAGAACTTAGGTATCTCCATCTGGAAAATGGAGAGAGTCACACTTAACCACATCAGACTGTTGTCAGGACTTAATAAGATATGTAACTCATAAGGACTTTTTCAGGCAGTTAGAATATAATGTGCTATTTTTTCATAGGCAATTTCATTGTTCTTGTGGCTATCCAAAGTCCCAAATGGAGAGAAAAAAGTAAATATCCTATGAATGGTTATGGGAATCAACTGATTTCACTCACATGAAATATCAGTATTTAATCCTACATCAAGGGAATGATAACATTTCTAACAAAAGAGTGGGGAGATCTCGTCTGAGTGACCCCCTTACCTGCACTCGGCTTTGCCTTCTCGGACAGTGCAGAGGCCATCATTCTCACATTGGAAGTCTGTGCAAAGTTCACTGATGCCAGGGGTTGGGTTTGGCTCAGTTTGTGTAGAATTAAGGTGGGATATGTCTAAGGAAGGCAGGGGGAGAGCACGGATGGAAATGAGCTTTGCTTTAACAATCATTTGCTCTTTAAGTTTAAAATAGATGCCCAGGTTTCAGATTTGTGAGAAGTTCAGGTAATCTTGAGGCATAGTCCAGTAACATTCACAGGCATGAAAATAATAAATAGGCAGGTGAAATCTCGCTGGCCTGTGGGGCTACTACAGAACCACATGCTTGCCTGGGCCTAGGCTTGCCTGAGCTTGAAGGGGCCCAAGCCCTTGTTACTGACCCTCGAGGGACAGCCAAAGAGACCAAAGCACAGAAATGCAAGATCACTGATGGGCTATGCCCCAGGTCACAGGTCTCCTGCTTGGTGGAGCAAGTTAGCGGATATATGGCGCAAGACACCAGGTCCCCTGACAACCAGGGTTCTGTTCTTTGCAGTGTTTTCCGTTACTTCTGGTACAAAGAGTGTCAAACAGAATTGATGAATATGTAACTTTTTCTCTGCTACATAAAATGTTTTCTCCCTTGGGAAAAGTTACTCCTGAATAAGTTTTTCTGAGAAATATCATCTAGATTTACTCTAATAGACAATAATGTAAAAATTTCATGGGTTTTACTTGTACCACCTTTCATCACAAACAAGATTCTGATTTACTGAGACATAAGTGGGTCTTTAATAGTAAATGAGTTAAAATCCTACCATACAAAACATGGCAACTACCAGGATTCCTGGAAAATGTATTTATTGGCTGCCATGGCTAAGAAATTTTAGGAAGACAGTAGATTATTCTCACTGCCAAGGTATATATGTGTGTGTGCATATGCATGTATATATATTTAAATGAGACAATAAAGATAGTCCATTTCCAGTTTAATTTCACGTGCTTGTGTGATATTTTTATTTCTGGAATCCTTGAGTATAATCCTAGGATATAATAGCTATACTTTAACTTATTTCTAAAGATGTTTTCTGGCCTAAAGTTTTCCACTATCGCTCCATGTAGTGGTAATTAAACTCTTTATCCAGGAATCATCACTGTTTCTATTTAAATTATTTTCTTATTGTTAATGATTCATACCAAAAAAAAATCCTAGTCATGCCTATTTCCTCCCACATCTCTATTTAATATACCTAAAAATGGAACCCAGAAGAGCACAATAAATAATCACTGGCCATAACAACAAAACAAATAGCTTATATAAAACTACTTTTATCAACATACCTTCCACTGTCAGTAGGATATAAACGTCATCTCCTTTTATAAAATCTCTGCTTTTCAGCCTCTCATGGGTTATAAAGGCACTGGTTCCATAGCCCCGACCTCTTCTAAATTGAGTTCCATTAGGGAAAAAAGCCACTTCTCCCACATTGGAAGGCCTGTCCCAAAAATAGTTCCCATTATCTGAAAAAGCAATTTATATTAATGGATTGTGTTTAGCATCATCATAGCTTTTGGTGGTAGGAAAGCACAGGCAACGTGAAACACAATTAGGATGGAGCTCAGAATAATTAAATGATGGTATTGACCTGTGATGTATTCGCTGGCAAGTCACGGGAGCTTGTTCATTTTATACTGTCCTAAAAGAAATGAGATGCCTGGCAGAGAGGACCACATTCTGGAACATGAGTGGAGAGGTTCCAAAAGTTTCCTAGGTCGGGTACCATGCCTATACTGACTGACCAGTATAGAAAATCCCCTACACATTGGAGTCATTCCTTAGTGCCCTTCTGAGTTACAGACAGTCCTTTTAACTGAGTTAAATCAATATGTTGCTGAGAGAGATTTTAATATTAGCAAAGGACAGTTTATTTCATTAACTGTCCTTCAGGAGTAGAAGACAGTGAGAAGCACTGCTTCTGGGAACGGTGATGACCTGCCCACCCCTGAGCCATCTGCAACGTCAGTCAGGGAAAAATGTTTTGAAAAGAAAGGGAAGAAATCCTGAACATCAAGTCCTTAGACTTCTCCTTCTGAATATTATTTTTTTCCCTATCAAATTAGGTTTTTTTTTCCTCTGTCGCTCAGGTCCATTCTTTTTGTATATAGAATTCAGATTTGGTGGTAATAATCACCTTGCCGTAATTCCATTTTTCCCTTTATTGGATTCCAAGAGGGCAAAGGATTATTGAAATTGGAAATGTGATCATTGCTTTCTGGGTGCTGCTCCTTTTGGAGACTGGAAAGATGGGGAATGACGTCATCACTGGCAAGTCTTCCAGGACTCTTTAATAAGAAGTCATAATCCATTCTCACGCTCTTCCCAACACTCCAGAGTACCTGCTCAATGTCTTCCTTCTCGTCAAAAACCATCCCCCATTAAAACAGCTGAATTGTTTTTGACAGTCCCAATGGCAAGACCAAGGCTGCACAGGTTGTTGCACTCAGCACCTGAGGGCCTCACCACCCCAGGCCCTTCAACAGGCTTCCATGCTTGATCTATAGTGATTCTCATAACACATCTAGGGGGTTTTATTACTGCTCCAGTTTTACTGCTGAGGACATTGGGGCTCCAAGAAATTATTTGCTTAAGGTCACAGAGCTAATGAGAAGCAAACCTTGGATTTGAACCCATGCATGCCAGACTCTAAAACCAACACTCCTTGCACAACACTGGGAATTCAGGTATGGACATCAATTCCTAGGAATATAGTCAGTATTTTCTCCATTTGTTGGCATTGCTGCTGACATCCCTGGCAATCTCTTGCCTGAGAGACTTCCACAACCACTGAAGCCCTTCCCCCTAAATATCTTTTGTTCCTAAAATTTGGAGCCCAAAATTCCCTGGGTACACGACTGTGCAGTCTCTCATTCCCAAACCATCCATCTCTCCTACAGCAATGATCATGAATTAGCAATAAAGAAAATGAGTCACGAACCGGTGGTCATAAATGGGTCTGTAGTTATACTCCGCTGGTTGGACATACGCTGTCGAATGTCAGGATTTTGATCCAAGAGTGTCATCGTGGCTTGTTGCCAAGGACACGGCCACTGTAATTGATCATCATTGGCTCCAGAGATCAAGTGGAAATATATTCCTGCATTAGTCAAATGGTTTAGATTCAAGAAAATCTGAAAGGCATAACCTTTGGAAGAATAAAATGGAGGGCTATATAGAGTTCCACTTGGGTTGCCAATGAACTGTGTGAAATTCGTTATATGCCAGATATGATGAGGGCACTGTGTTTCTGAAAGATTGATGTCATCAATAGACAGGCCACCCAGTGATGCACCAGTGCCTCTGACCCCTCCAAACGCCACTCTAAATTTGTTGGTCACTTTCAATGTTACATGATAAAGTTGCCAGCTCCCAATGGGTATATCTGCAAAAGAGATATTATTATTTCAAAGAACGCAAAGACTATGAATCATGTGCAAATCAACATTAAAGTTCTAACCTTCATGGACAAATGATCATCCTAGAGCTCCTGATGTCTACAGGTTTGAGGTTTATGGCTTTCTTACTCCTCCAGCCCAGACTCATTTACTTCAAGGTGTTTCTGTGGGGTCGAGCTGCTCTCTGGAATATTTGGATGTTTATCTAGTTGTTTCTCGGGTAAGTCACCCTTTCCTAGAGATGGGTGAGTAAACAACAGCATCTAACTTGTGAGTACTCCATGCCCTATTCATGGGTTACTCCCTGCTCTATGTTAGTTAAATGGTCAAGCAAGCCCAATATTCTTACCCTTGTTCCCAAGATTCCTGTGATACTCAGCCAAAGTCTCCTTCAATATATTTATAGTTTGGAATACTTCCTGCACATGCAAAATTTTCAATCAACTTTTTGGCAATATTAAACAAGAATCTACCAAACCCTAGAAAGGCAACATCCTATGATTCACTCCTTGGGTCACTTACAAGTGACTCGACATTGTAAGTGTTATCTGGTATTTAGTACCATCTCCTTTCTCCCCAACCTGCACTTCTTCCTCCACTATATGGCACACGGGGTGCCACCTTGTCTTACTTTCTTATATCACATACCCAGATAAGAAGCAGTACATTAAAAAAATGTCAGAAGCCCCCAGACAGAGAATAGCTGAGGAATTCATGTCAAACTCGTCGTTAACACAATGACTTAAAACTTAAATATGTTAGCACTGAATATGAAACACAATTGCTTGAAAATAAGTTAGAAATATCCAAATTACAGAAAATGCTGTGTTTATGAATAGACTCTAGATTGAACAAAAACCTTTCCTGAGAGCTTTGCTTCGTTATTATCAGTGCTATCAGTTTAAATGCTGGACTCCTAAGCAAGTTTCTTAAGTGCTTTTGTGCTATTGTCTATCAATGATAATACTCACAGATTACTAAATCGAAAGGAATATATACACACATACATGCACACACATAAGATGTATATTATATATGTAATTTTATATATTATACATGATTACATATATAATGTACATATATAGTATGTGGGTGGGTGTGAGTGTGTGTATATAGATATAGACATAAAGAGATTGAGAATTTCACTGTACGTATTCATGAAGAAAAATATCATCTGTGTTTCAGATTGTTTCTCCTTGTTAAACGGGGGGGGAATGGCATGACATATAGCATAATGTTGATCAATTTTATAATAGGTTTTACTTAATTCATTCAAACCAAGAGGTCAATGTGTGGAGCAGACAGTACTATATCTGCCAGCCCTCAGCCCCTCCCTGCCTCAAGGACCCTCTTAACCATCCGCTTTAATAGGTGGTTAACATGACCCACCTCTCTGACACGTGATTGGAATGAAGCATGGGCACCCAATCCTAGAGATACCCTTCCTCCACTCAGGAATTGCTCCAGACGTTGCATTTAATTCAAGTCATAACAATCAGAGTCCTTCACTGGGATTTATTTTCTAAGCTGGAAATTAGAAGAAGAGTCCCTTTTACAGTCTAAAGGCACGTTTGGCAAGACGTAAGCTGGGAAGTGCCAAGGTACAAGTTTATAGACAAAGCCCAGCTCAGATAACATGAGACGTCTCCAGCCATGTTCAGAGACAGGTGCAGTCCTGCCTGAAACCGTTCCTCCCTCGTCCATTCCATAATTTAGTTATATTGAGCCAGTAACTCTTCCCATTTTGCCTAAGCTGGTATCCGTTGTATTTTTATGACTTGCCAAAAACTGACCTCTACTGTGCCAGAGACTTATATACTGTTTCTTAAGTGAGTGTCACATATTAGAGTACACAAAGGGGCCTCATTTTTGCTTCCTGACCACAGCATAAAACAGGGAGGATCAAGTTCTAAGTTGAAAAGCAATGAGTCCATAGCCCCTGCCCTGTTGTAAGTTATTGCATTAAGAGTTAAGACTGCCTCTTACACTCTTTGCCATTGGTCTTAGCAGCATCTTTTCTAACACCATGTCTATTCAGGCGTGGGAAATAAAAGAAAAAAATAAACAAATGGGACTACATCAGATTAAAAAGTTTCTGCAAGCCAAAGGAAACCATGACGAAATGAAAAGACATCCTACCAAGTGGGAGAAAATATTTGCAAATCATATATCTGACAAGGGGTTAATTTCCAAAATATATAAAGATCTCATACAGCTCAACAACAAAAAAACCAAACAACCTGATCAAAAAACGGGCAGAGGTTATGAACAGACATTTTCCCAAAGAAGATATACAGATGGCCAACAGGCACATGAAAAGAGGTTCAACATCACTAATTGTTAGAGAAATGCAAATCAAAACTACAATGAGATACCACCTTACACCTGTCAGAATGGCTATAACTACCGAGACAAAAAATAACAAATGTTGGAGAGGGTGTGGAAAAAAGGGACCCTCACACACTGCTGGTGGAAATGCAAACTGGTGCAGCCCCTATGGAAAACAGTATGGAGATTCCTCAAAAAACTAAAAATAGAAATACCATATGATCCAGCTATCCTACTACTGGGCAAAGAATGTGAAATCAACAATACAAAGAGATTTATGCACCCCTATGTTCATTGCAGCGTTATTCACAGTAGCCAAGATGTGGAAGCAACCCAAGTGCCATCGACTGATGAATGGATAAAGAAGACGTGCTATATAAAAACAATGCAATACTACTCAGCCGTAGAAAAGAGACAAAATCATCCCATTTGCAAAAACGTGGATGGACCTTGAGGTTATTATGCTAGGCAAAATAAGCTAGACAGAGAAAGACAAACGCTGTATGATTCCACTCATATGTACAAGATAAACAAACACATGGATATGAGAACAGATTAGTGGTCACCAGAGGGGAAGGGGTTAGAGGCGTGGGAGAAAGGGGTAAGGAGGTACTTATGTGTGATGATGGATAAAAACTAGACTATTGGTGGCGAGCACAGTGCAGTTTATACAGAAACTGATATATAATAATGTACACCTGAAATTATACAATGTTATCAACCAATATGACTTCAATAAAATAATTTAGTAAAAAAAGAGTTAAGACTGCCTCACTGTGAACCCAAACAATGAGACTGCTGATATTGTACCTTTTATTTCTTCCACAAGGGTTAAACTACCATTGACATCATCTGCAGAATACTCCCTGATATAGATGTTCAGTTGGTCATTTTCACTTCCGCTGCTATATAAAAAAAATTGCAAGCACTGAAATCCTCTTTTAGGGTACAGTGTTCTACTTTCCAGCACTGCCATGGCCCCCACATTTACAGAGCTACTGTCGAAATGCATGAAGAAACCAGAACCTGTTAAGAGGACAAAAGCAGAATTGAGAGAAAACATATATTGGATATAGGATTGCATATTCTGTGGGCACTATAGGTCCACTTAGTTCCCACTGTATTGGGCATTTAAATATGGGTCTAGGATCAAGCATTTTATGAAAGAGACAACACGAGGCTACCTTTTTCTTACCACAGATGTTAGTTTTCAAAAACAGAAAAAAGTATCACCTATCTGGTTTAGCGTCTCTCTCTCTCTCTCTCTCCCTCCTTCCCTGCCTCCCTCCCACATTCCCTCCCTCCTTTCCTCTCTCCTTCCTTCTGGCCTGTGTATGACCACTATCCACTACCCAAATCTGCATTTAAAAAGAAAAATATTTTTTATTGAAATATATTTGACATATATCCTGTGTAAATTTAAGGTGTACAACATGTTAATTTAATACACTTATATTGTAATATGATTGCCATTATAGCGATAATTAGCACCTCTATCATGTAACATAATAGTCATTTCTTTTTAGTGGTTGGAATAATTAAGTTCTAGTCTCTTAGCAAGTTTGGTGATTATGATACAACATTGTTATCTACATTCACTATGCTGTGCAATAGATCTCTAGGGCTTATTTACTACTCATTGCAAGTTTGTACTCTTAAACAACATTTGTTCCATACTCCTCCCCGCAAAAAAAAGAACAAGAAAAAGAAAAGGAAAGGCACTTCATTATTAGAGAGTAACTCCTGCCTAGACCACCTGAGCTGTCACGTGTAGGGGTGGAAAAATTTCCCCTTCTTCTCTTCCAGGTTCTTTACCTGGTCTAATATTTAAATGGATATAACACAGATTAACAAGAGAAAAACAAATTTAATTATGTACATACAGGGGACACTAAAGATATGAAGACTCAAAGGGCAGCCAGGTAATCGAGGCTTATATAACATCCTGAGGTGAGGAAGGGGCTAGGGGTCTGGAGGCACAAAGGGGAGCAAAGGCAGAGGTGTTTGGGAAACAAAGATTGTCCTGTTGGGCAGATACATTTCTTAGATAAAAAGGTATCTCTGGTAACAGCTTTCTTCCTGGTACAGGCCCCCTTTCCAATGTAAATTTAGGCACGTATAGGAGAGGTAAAGAGCTTTCCTGAATCTGCTGGATTTTGATTGCCTTTAGCTCAAAATAATCCTTATGCCAAAGAGAAATCTTTTAGGGTGGCAAAACCTGCTCCCCTCCACAAGCAATGGCCCTGAGTGCTGAAGTCTAGTTTTCGTTTTTTGTTTTTTGTTTTTTTTAAAGATTTTAATTTTTCCTTTTTCTCCCCAAAGCCCCCCGGTACATAGTTATATATTCTTCGTTGTGGGTCCTTCTAGTTGTGGCATGTGGGACACTGCCTCAGCGTGGTTTGATGAGTAGTGCCATGTCCGCGCCCAGGATTCGAACCAACGAAACACTGGGCCGTCTGCAGCGGAGCGCGCGAACTTAACCACTCGGCAACGGGGCCAGCCCCCTGAAGTCTAGTTTTACACATTTGCTGCCAAAAATGAGCAAATAAATAAAAATTTGGTACTTGTAGCCAAATAAATGACTATCTAGTTCAAAACAAAACTACAATGGCAGAGAATATTCATCTGAATAAAATTAAATAAATTGTACTTTGTACCTTCACTTTAAGTATTTTTTTAACAGGAGGATGTAATCACAACCAGCTGAAATTCTGAAATTGATTAATGCACAGCCTATTGCCTTTCACTGGAAATTCTCTTGTATTCTGCAAGCTTCTAGAAAAAAATCCTTTACCCCCAACATAAGAGTCCTTCAGGAGGGACAGTCCCTTCTGCCGTGGGCACATACTATGGGTGAAGGCTTCATGGAGCCCAGCTCTGACTCATAGGAAGAAAAGCAAATACAGACAGTAAAAGCAAAGAAATTAACCACACCCTGATAACGCACAGAACCGAGTCCTTAGTAGCAACCTCATGGGTTATCGCCAGTAATTCTTATGGAAATTAGAAATAAATTCTCAGTCTTTCATAGCAAAGGGAAAGGCTGGAAGCACTGAGAGTAAAATCTAGAAATATCTCCCTCCTGTTACCTTTGCACTGGCCCATGTTAGAGTGGTCGCTGTCTGGCCCCCTGGGAACTTGTGAAACCCGCTGCCAGTCAGCATTATCACCTGAACTTTGAATCATACCACACACGTTTTCCAGTTCAAAATCGCATGAGTCCATAAAGCTCAAGGAAGAGGCTACAAAAGCAAAAGAACAATTATTGACACTCATACTACGTGATCATCTAAGTAATAAAAACTGAGCTTATCACAGAAGTACTAGGAATGCCAGGATGCTGTGAAAGGGGACAGCTTGCTGATTCTGGTGATGGTATCTTGGAGGCCTCTTGATGTCTGCAGAACCAAGACATCAATCAATTCCAGACATCTGAATAAGCTGCCTGATCCAAGTCTTTTTATTAAATTATCAAATTATAGAAATCTGAGTCTAACCTCCTCTAGCTATTCAGATTATTAAGCCACAACCCAGATTATTTGATCCCATTTATGTTATGGCTGTACACCCTATTTTGGGTGAAAAGAGTTTGAATATCAAGTTGGCCCACATCTGAATTAGAATTGGCTTCAAAAACCTGCGTGGGGCATGTTCCTACAGGAGCCAATTTGTTTTTATATCTGAAAGCCTGATCTTTTGAGAAGGAAAATGCTGCTTCCGAGTTGTAGATTGGGATCTGGGTGCCATTCTGCTTTTTTTTTCTGAATATCAAACTTCAACTATCAAATAATAATTGTCAAACTATAATTCCAGAAAACCCAGAAATATTCAGCAAAATGGCACAAAGCATAATTTTTCCCACATAGCAGAGAGAAACAGAAGTCATTTCAAAGAACCTGTCACATACAACAGTTATACAGCCGGTTCAACTTTAGGAGATCATAGTCACTGAAATCCATGCGTTGGCCAATCACATCCGCGAAGTCTGAGATTTTTGTTACGATTGTTGGTTCTGTCCCATTTTGGAATGCTGTTTTACTGTAGTGCATTACTGAAGTGTAGTCATAGGGAACATTCAGAGAGTCAGATACTTGGTCATCATAGGTGTTAAAATTGTGCTCTCTACCTAAACAATAAGTAAGAAATCTTTAATTACTTGATGTTCACAAAATTCAGGTCATCTTAGTCCAAATACTGTTACCTTTGAAACGAAGACTGTAACAAACACAGTGCAACCTTTGCTACAACTGCTCTATGGTATTTCAAGAGTGTTCCATATAGTCCTATTCTAGAATATAATATTCAAGCTTAGAACTGTGATACCAGCGGTCATGCCGAACGTATATAAGGTTTCATTACAGCCCCCAATTGGACATTAGCATTTGACCTAAGGTTCTAAGAGCTGCTAATGGAAAGGAGGATTCTAAAAGATGTCGCTGAAACAGTGAGAGTCATCGGTAGGCGATGATGGGAGGGCATCCATAGCAGATGGAGATGAAAGTAAGAGGACTTGGGGAGGTGTGATGGGAAAGGACTGGAGAATGATAGCATAGAGTCATTAGAAAGGAGTGACATAGTCAAGGATTTCATGGTTAGTGAAATATGTGTAGATGTATTTAAAATGAATACATTTAGAGAAGATGCCTGGCTGCTTAGCATCATACTAACGGACAACTGATTGTGACTTGAAATTGGTTGATTTTGTGGTCACAGTGAGGTGGATCTGATCTTCAAAGCATACAGATGTGTTATCGAATGTAGGTGGAAGTTTCTACCTAAAATAAGACTTTGGGAAACCTAAAGTGTGTGGCCATGGATTAAAACTAAACACTTCTCTTGCTCTTTCAGTCTGCTGCTATGCCATACGCCAGTTGAGATCACCAGACACTAGGGCAGATGGTAAGGTGCAAGAGCCGTGATGTTAAGACTGTGATGTCAGGGGCCTCAGCACAGGGCACTCCTCACAGAACCTCACATGATAGCAACACCATTCCATCAGCCATACCCTACAGAGGCAGGACAGACGGGGAAATGAAGTGTCACTGTGGAAAACATGAGTTCTAGTCAGACATGGTTATTAAAACCCTTCTGACTTTGAGTACAAAGTCACAAAAAGTTTGAGCTGTTCAACTACTGCAGTGTTTCTCCATATGGCCTCCATGGAACAACAAACCTGAATACTCCACAAAAAGAAAAAAAAGACCATGATCAAGTCACTTTGGGAAATGCTTCTCTACTTGGAGATTTACAATTCGTGTCAGTCTAACAAAGACTCTGAACAGGAAACAGTATAAATAACTGTAAGTTTAATTTCTTTTAACCTAGGGTTTCCCAAACTAATTTGACCACAGATCTCTTTCCATACACTGGTGAACACATTGTGGAACAGAGCTCCATAACACCTGCTTTGGGAAACACTAGTTTCTAAGATCACATCCAGCTCAAACTAGGTTTCAGGGACACTGTGCCCCAACAAACTTCAGGCACTTCAACTCATGTTGAGTCAGAGCTAAATAAAGTAAGATATCACAACATAGAGTTTTCCCATTATTAACAGTCGGCACAGATGGTAGGAGAGGGCACATGCTTAGAAATTCAGTCTTTAAGTAAAAAATATAAGAAAGCAAGAGAAATGTACCTGACAGAATTCTGTCCCAAATTATGCTGACATAGTCATCCCGATCAGAACGTGACTGCTCATGCCAGAACCCCAGTGCGTGGAGGAACTCGTGTTGAACCGTTGCTATTCTGTCACAGTTTTCCCCAATGGAGAGCTCTTGCCTCCCAACACGCCTATTTCCCACGTAAGACCAGCAGCTAACAGGAGAGTCACAGGAGAAAGGGGTGAGGGTGTTATAATGATGGAGGTTGAGGTCTCCGGGCAGAATCTCCAGTGCCTAGTCTCCTTAGTTACCCTCCCAGATCCTTCACTCTTACGTCTGTACACTGTATGCTTCTCTTGTAACCCTGGTGAGGTATGAAAAACCTTGCAGACCAGATGGTCCCAGGAGAACTTGCCCTGGCACCAAATATTACACAGAAGTCAGCCTAGTCCTGATTTTTCCCGGAAAGTTCAGTCTTTTCAGATCGTCCTCGGTATGATGATAACCACTAATAAGGGTTTTATAGAGACAGCAACCACTGGGAATTGCTGAGCTCCAGGCAAATAATACTGTCACCTTCTTAACTCAAGCAATAAAGTGTACTTAAAATAAATTTAAATACACTGTGCATGCACACACACACACATGTTTTACTTAAAGGGGGAAATAAGGAGTATGTTAACCATAAGCAGCCAAAGTTCCCAAAGTTGTGGGTTGGATGCATGCAATCCCATCCTCCTTTTCTTAGCATTGGTAGTCTGGTTGCATGTATGAACATATCATTTTTATGGCTAGAGAACCCAGATACAAATTGTCTTGTACTCTCCAGTAAATAGCAAAGGAAGCCCCCAGCCCACCCTCAAGGTCAGGGCCTATGGCAATTGCCGTGATATGCCACAGCTGCACAGTTCTCGTTCCAGGCCTTAGAAGACAAACTCTTCAGCTCACCCGCTGTCCTTGATCACTGCTATATAGTTAGCTTCTCCAGCCCAAGGCTTGAAGTCAATGCATGTTTTCAGGCGATAACGTTCAAATGCATTGAGGATAACTCCCTTAGCATTCATGTCTGAAGGAGGAAAACAAACAAAAATACACTTACTAAAATTATCGCCATTGAACAATTCACCCTGGAAATAGCCCACACAACATATTGCTTATTGTGAGTTAGTTCTAATATGAATGTTTGGCGTTTTATTTTTACAAAGCTTGGTATTCGGTGCCAATTAAGTATCATATACAAGTATTTGATTGTTCTTCAGATCCCTTATTTCACCCTGTGTTTATCTTCTGGAGCCATTAGAGGTGCATTACTGAACAGTAAGCAAAGGCATCTCCTTACCTCAGAGAACATATGCATTGGATCACAGGCAACCAAAATGAACAAGCACTGTCATGTGCTTCATCTGTGAAGCTGAACTGTGTATTTATGGCCTCAAAGTGGAGCTTTTAATCTGAGGACCTTGAGATGGGAGGGTCCCTGAATATTCTGAAATAATATGCAAAGTGTCTATGTCTATATCTGTATCTCTATCTATATCTATGTCTATCTACATCTTCAAATTGCATTCTCTGGGGAGAGCGTTCATAAGATTCACAAGTGAATTCAGGGCCCAAAATAGGGTTAAGGATCATTGCTTTGAAGCTGAGTGATGCTAACAGGTCGGACAGACATGGAGCTCAAAAAAGCAGAGGCATGAAAGCAACAAAGACATGCAGGAAAAGAAACTGGCAACCTGGAGGGAGGGGCTGTATAAGATGTACGTGGAGAGATCATCACAAATGGGGTGGCATACCGGTGAAGTGAAGGGTGCTGGCCTCAGGGAGGCGGGAGGCAGTATGGCAGAGTGGAAAGTACTTGGACTCTGGAACCAGACACACCTAAGTCCTCACCACTTACTTTTGACATGTTACCTTGGTTAATTGGATTCACTTTTGGAGCCTTGGTATCGTCATTTAATCATGATGAAGTCAACTTTACAGGAATGTTGTGAGGATGGGGAGAAAGTAGAGGTGAAGTTCTAAGTAAAAGGAGCATTTATCAAATATTCATTTCCTTCCTCCCCTCTTACTTGACCATTGCACAGGCATTTAAAGAATTACTCGGAACTCCTCTGTCCAGGCAGGAGAAGGTCAAGAACAGCATTCACACAAGTAAGGCCCTAAAATCCACGCATCGATGAGAGGCACTCAGAATTCAGCCTTTTACAATACCACACAAATAACACATTTGGTTATAAACAAGTTAGAAAATGCATATGAACAAAAAGGAAATTTAAAATCCTACCCCCCAGGAATAACCAACCACCCTTATCATGTTTTTTGCTTATGAATACATACATACATAATACACATATATTTTTATTAAAAATAAAATCACAGGCTTCGTAACAGTCTGTAAACTTCTTTTTCACTAAATAACACGTCATTAAAATCTTCATCAATGTTGTTTTTATTATCTTAACGGCTACATTATACAGTTGTAACATATGGAAGTAACTTCCTGTTGTCAAATATTTAAATTGTTTCCAAATTTTCTGTACTATAAATATCACGTTTGGATCACTATTTCAAATCTAACACTTCCTTAAAATAAGGCGTGATAATACCGACCGCTAGGTGACTATTTTCGTAGTGAATGTGAAAGCAGCATGCTGGCTTTTATCAAACTTAATGAAGATAGTTTCTACCCCCAACTGAATTGTTTTGAGAATCAAATAAGGGAACAAATGTGAAAGTTCTGTCAAAAGCATAGCCCTCTCCCAAGATAGGATTTTCATTTCCCATGTGCCTTTATTTACTGAGGGCCTTTTAATTCACTTTGCATCCTAGACGTGGATGAGCTCCACCTGGGATCATGTTATTTCAATCCCAAGGCTCCAAAGGATAAGGCAGGTCCTGGACAAGCTTAGGAGTTAAGCAAGCAGCTGTTCAGGATTATTTTCCCCTCCTTAGCCTTTTCAGTTCCTAGCACCTTGACCTTCATTTCCATCTCCACCTCTTTTACTGCCATCCTCCAACCCCCACCGCCCCATCCCCCACCTCAGATCTGGCACTCATGCGAGGAATTTTAACTTATTCAGTGGAAGCTACACATGGCTGCTTCAAGCATTACGCCTTTCAGGGGAGTTGCATCTATCAGCCAGACAACACCTGAAGTTTCAGCTAAAAGACTAAAGCCCTACTGGCAGAATTTCATGTCAGTCCACCAGAATTTGAGTAATAGTGATTTCTGGAATACCTCTGGAAAACCCTTCATAGGTATTTACTTTTGCTATGTGTAAGAGTGGCCTTGCTTAGTGATTTTCTTAGTCGGAGTCATTTGAAGATGGTATAAATTTCTGAAATGTGAGGAAATACTCGTCTCATTTTAAACATAGAGAATAAGTTCACTGCTACGATATTAAACATAGGTAAAGTATTTTCTAAATAAGAAAGAATCAAAATCATAGAACTGAAAAAATGGCCTATAAAAATTTGAAGTTTAATTGTATTATAAAAACTATATAACATGAAACAATGCAATAATATTAAGTGAAAGAAAGCGGAACAAAAAATTTAAAACACTACAGTTATAACTACGTAAAAATGTTCACAGTTTGGATGGTAGGATCTGAGCTGAACTGTTTACTTCATACATATATGTTTATCAATTTATTTTTAAAAATATTAACTGCTTGGGGCTGGCCCCGTGGCCGAGTGATTAAGTTCGCGCGCTCCGCTGCAGGCGGCCCAGTGTTTCGTCGGTTCGAATCCTGGGCGCGGACATGGCACTGCTCGTCAGACCACGCTGAGGCAGCGTCCCACATGCCACAACTAGAAGGACCCACAACGAAGAATATACAACTATGTACTGGGGGGCTTTGGGGAGGAAAAAGGAAAAAAATAAAATCTTTAAAAAAAAAAAATATTAACTGCTTATAATATGCCAGAGACTATGCCAAGCCTCAGATTTGCAAGATGAAAAATGGCTCCTGTCCTCAGGGCATTCACTATGTTGTTTTATAAGGTTATTTAAAAACAAGTATATAAAGTTCATAAAGTTACAATAGCTTTGGTTACAATACATGGCAAAAATAGACTAAGAGATACAGTCATATTAAAGCTCACTGATCTTTCATGGAACACAAGAGAATAATTTTTTTTAAATTTTATATATATATAATTTAAAAACACAAGTACTTTTAAAATTTTTTAATCAAAGATTAAAACAAAAAAATATTTAAAATCTTTCAGATTCCCCCTGATTCCGAAAGTCAGTGAACATCTTTCTCCTTTCATGTTACAGCTTCCAACCCTTCCAAACTGTTGCTGTGGCATTTTCTCCCTACTCTTGGTTTTTCATCCATGTTTCTGGCCAGTCCTCCCCTCTCAATAACTTCTATAAGATCCTCCATCTATTCCAGTTCCAAAAAGTTGTTCCCCAGGCTGAATTCCATTCTCGGTCATCTTCTTACTCAATACAATCTTCTTGGGTCATTCAGTGAGATCCAATTATCTAAAGAGTACTTGTGAGAGAAGCTCATTCATACGCATGGCTTCAATCTTCTCCTACATCCTAATAACTCCCAAATATTTCTCTATCTTGAACAACAAGGCCATACACCAACACTTTATATGATACCTCCACCTCAGTGAGCCTGATGCATCTCAAATTCTGCATGCCAAAAACTAATTTCCACCACACTTCTCTATCTCACCCTCTTTGAGATATATTCCCTATTCTTGTTAAAGGCAGTACCATCCACCCAGTTGCCTTTGTTTAAAAACAGGTACATAAAGACTGAATCCTGAGCACTGGCATTTCTTTACCTAGACTGATCTTATTCTTTTCTTTTTTTTTTTTTTTTTTTGGAAGATTAGCCCTGAGCTAACTTCTGCTGCCAGCCCTCCTCTTTTTGCTGAAGAAGACTGGCCCTGAGCTAACATCCATGCCCATCTTCCTCTACTTTATATGTGGGATGTCTGCCACAGCATGGCTTGCCAAGCAGTGTGTAGTTCTGCAGCTGGGATCTGAACCAGCGAACCCCAGGCCACTGAAGCAGAATGTGCACATTTAACCACTGCGCCACCGGGCTGGCCCCTAGACCCATCTAGTTCTTGAGCTCTTGCAGTCAATCACCAAATCAAACAACTGCTTCCTAAGTCTCTCGGAGTTATCCGTTTATGTCTATCCTCACCGAGAGAGTCTTGGTTTAGAAACTCTTCAGTTCTTCCCTGAATTTCTTCAGTAGTCTCCTAATTGACCTCCTTATTGCTTTCTGCCCCTCTAATAATACATCTTCTATACTGCAACCAGCACGATAACAGTCTCACTTCCACATTAAAGCTTTTGGAGGCTCCACGTTATCATCAGTATACACACCAAGTTCTTTAACACGGGAAAGACTCCTTCCCAGTCTGGGTCCTGCCTACATGTTCAATCTCATTATCTCCCCACTTCCAACTGAAATTCCAGCTAAGGGTTTTCTCCCTTCCGCATGCCTTCGCACATAGTGATCCATCTGCCTAGACCACCTTTCCCTTGCTATCAGAGGCTGCACTAGCCCACCTGCTGCCTTTCTGGGACTTAGAAAGAAGCATCTCATTTGGGCAGATGCTGCATGTGTTGGCTTGGCCAGTGAATGAATAGCACTTCACGCAAAGAAACGAAAGCCTTCTGATGAACAGAATGCAAACTTGATTTCAGTCCCATTTGTTCCCTCTCCCAGGCGCCTACATGTGGTGTCCAACTTGATGACTTTCTTGACAGCCCTGTTGCAGAGTGTCACCTGCTCCCCAATACATATGCCTTTATATCTAGGTTGAGTTAAATGCCCCTCCAACACGCTTCCATAACTCTTTGAACATGTTACTAATCATGCTGTTTATTCCATTCTATTATAATTAGCTTTTGATTTATCTGAATCTCTACTGAAATGTGTGATCTTTAAGGAGAAGTTTACCAAGCAGCAGTTCCTAAACTGGTGCTGGTAACTGACATCATTTTTGCTAGTCCGTAAATAAAATGAGATCCATGGTTAGAGTTTTCCATTACAATTAAATTTCTTCTTTAGACAAATTGTCCTTAGTTATGGATTCACTTTTTCTGACTTTCTAGTATTAAAATATTTATTTTATGAAAAGATGATGGTAAAAGATAGTGGGTTCTTGCTCTTATTTAAGTTCCTGACTTGGCAAAATAAAACATCGGTAAAACAATGCTGCTCTCTAAAGTTTCCTTTGGTTGGTTGTTTAATATTTTTTACTCACGTGTAAAATCTGAACATGTGGGAAACCACAGCTTTAGAATAAAGACTCACTCCCTAATCTTTATGTCCCAAGCATCCAATACAGAGTAGGCTGTCCATGAATGTTGGTTGAATTAATCTCTTTATTGGTTCAAACTCAGCAAATATTTCAGACATCATTTAGGTTCTTTTCATTGTTCATTTTTCATACTTCTTTAAGTAAATGTACATAGCCACACAAAGCAACAAACGAATAAACAAACCCTTAAAGACCATGCGATCCTACACTTGGAAATATTGTGATCAAATTCTGTCAGGGACATACATTAGTTATGGACACTCCAAGGTGTATACTAACCCAAGCTATCTTCTAGAACATATGGAATGGTATGAGGCCATCTGTATGTTTCTCCAATGATGGAATTTCTATCTTGTGTCTATAGAAAATAAATGTGAAAGAGTTAACTAAATAAATCAGGCAAAAATTTATGAAACAATCAAAAGTTAATCTAGAAATAAATCAAGTTTAAAGCTTTCCCAGCCAGCCTAAACAAATTGCAGGTGTGTGTGCATGTGTGTGTGTCTACCCCTACTTTTATCGTATCCTATCAGATTTTCCAGGTGGAAACTACTAATTTCTATCATTAATTTTGTTGATGGAGTTGAAGAAGCAATCATGCAAAATCATGTAAAGAATGACTGTTGGAAAACTGAGCTATAAATACTGGTGGATTTATAGACTAGTTTCCTATACTAGAGATAAAAAATATACAAGAAGGAAATGATAGCAAAACCTCAATAATCTTGATCTCACAATATCAGAAAAAGTCACACATGAGCTAGGCCAAAGTTTTCAAAAGTTTTTAAAGGATTTGAAATTTTTATAACAGAAAACTAATATTTCGTTAATGTATTCATCTAGTCAACAAGATGAACATGCTCAAGAGAACAGAGATCCATCAGCAACAAAACTGCAAAGGTCTCTACCTTCATGGAGCTAACACCTAGTGGAGGAGACAAACAGTGTGTAAGAAAGGAAAGAAGTTTAAACAGGATCAATTTAATAGTGCAGGAAATAAAAAAGGGAGATGTGGACAAGAGTGAAGGGATGGGGGAGTACATTAGATGAAGTGGTCAGGACAGGACTCTTTGAAAGGGTGACATTTAAGGTGAAATGGAAATGTTAAGAAAGAACTGGGATTCAAAGTGACCTTAGGAAGATATTCGAGAGAGAGGAAACAGTACTAGTTACCCTGGTTCTGAGGTGGGAATATGCTTGGTATGTTCTGAGTCTTGGTATGTTTTGAGGCCAGTAGCCTAATGAGTTAGGAGAGAAGGAGACGAGATAAGAGAATAAGAGAGGCGAGAAGAGGAGATGGCAGGAGAGATAGGCAGGAGTTAAACTATGCAAGGTCTTGAAGGCTGTGGGTAAATTTTGGTATTATTCTAAATGCAGTAGGGAGGTGTTGAAGAGTTTTAAGCCAGGAAGTGAAATGGTGTCATTGGCTACTTAAAAGACCACTTTGCTGTGAGGGATGGAGACAGGGACAGGTAGAAAAGATTATAGGAGAGCAATAATTGAAATAGACAAATTAGGAGAAAAGTAGATTATTTGAGGAATATGTTTGACACAGAAATCACAGAACTTGCTGATGGATTGGATGGCGAGGTGAGAAAAAGGGAAGAAGCAAAGGTGACTTCTGAATTTTTGACTTAGTCAGTGGAGTGTGGGGAGAGGGTGCTGATGATTTTACTAAGAGGGAAGACTGAGGAGGAACGGTTTGTATAGAAAATCAGAGCTCAGCTTAGGACAGCTGACGTTCGCGGTATTTCACAGAAATTCAAATGGAACTGACAAATTGGCACCTGGATAGACCAGTCTGGAGCTCAGGGGAAGGAATGGACTAGAGTTACACATTTGGAGTCATGAGCATAAAGATGACAGTTAAAGCCCTGACACAGGTGAGATCAAGAAGGAGAGAACACAGAAGAGCAGGCCCAGGACTAAGCCTCAGACACCACAGCTCTGTTTCTTGAGTTCAAGTTCACCATGGGGGTTTGAGGGGTGTCTACAGTGCTTATGATAGAGAACATTTAAGCTCCCTTAAACTACATGTAAGGTACCTGTGTTCATCTGCGTGCCATGATGGCTAGATAAGAATCCGTGCTCTTTATGAATAGGTTTGGGAGGATCTCAACTTGGCAAAACTATTTTCAGCTGTCAGGGTAGAAGTCACAAAATCTCTCTTATGGTAAAAAGCCTGATTCATTGAAGACATTTACAAATTCAGTTTAATTCTGCTTCAACTAGATTGAATCAGTGAGGTTCTATCTAAAAATAAAAATGTCACGTTTTTCCAATAATGAAAATCAATCAGATCAATAAGACCAAGGCATACATGGTGATTGATGGTGGCTTCAACCACTCTGAAATCTGAGTAATGGAATATGAAGACACTATTATATGAGTCCCTAGAGTATAATGTACTCATTGAATAAATGTGTCACCATGATTCTGTGCCCTTAGGGATAGTTGGGCTTAACAAATACTCTGTATTTTAGCTTGCAGTGATTAATAGACGATTCTTCCTTGCATTGTTTCAACTCACCCCAGCAAGTCTGACATCTCCCTCAAAAAGATCCAGTCCCAAACCTGAGAAGGAAAACAAAAATTCACGTTAACAATTGAATTCCAACTTACATAAAGAATGAAAAAAATATATATATCCACAAACCTTCATTGATATCAAATATATCCGGGTCAATTCCACCATCTACATCTTTAAAACAACAAAGAAAAACATATTGAACATTATGTTTATGAAAGAAGAAAATCTCTATCAATGATCAAATTAAAAGTAAACAAGTTCTTTTGCCTCAGATAAGTGGCTACTAGGTTCTGATTCAATATACACTGATTGGTTTGTTGATTGATTGATTGAGTGATTGAGAACATCTCATGAGCCAGGCTTGGGGATCTGGGGCTTTTGCATATATACTCTTGTCTTACCCATGTCCCTTGAATGCCAAATGACTTCAGGGACAAGAAATTTGTTACTCCACACAATATTAAGCTTAATTTGGAAGACTAGAGTAGATGACTAGATTAAATAGGAAGCAAATGTTTAAATGTGGTCAAAGCAGGCCAATCTCCCCATACACGTACACCCCTTGCTTGTAGCATACCTTGGAGCTCTCAAGCAAAATTCCTAATTTAAACGTGAATTACTCCTTCAAGTTGCAAAGGGGTGGATACTATGGCCTAATCTCTAAGCATACAACTGAATAGAATGGACGTCAGGTCCAGATGACTTGACACAAAATAGCAAAAATAATAATAGCAAGCATTTATGTGACTGTGTTTGGACTTTCCTATATCACCATCTGTTTTTCTGCTGAGTATGTGGAACCCTGAAACAGGAACAATAAAATGTTCCTTAATAAATCAAAAGAAGCAAGTGTTTGATCAAAGTTCAATGCAATTACGCAAATGCAATTATGTATTGTACTTATCATTAAATGCGTCCTAAGTTCTTCTGTTCTCTGTTCTAGTATCCACATAACTTTCTTTTACTATAACTTAGAGCAAAACTCAAAATAGACTCACCAAAGTTTTCCGGAGTTGGCTGGGAAACAAACACATAAAAAAGATATTATTACCATGCCCATGACATAAGTGGTCTTCCTGGTTCCAATTTATATCTAGCCATTTGGGGGTTTTTTTATTATTATTAATATGATGGATTACTTTCTGACATATATCCAAGACAGCTAAATTGTAATTTAAGATAACTTTTTGATCAAAGGATCTTCTCATTTCATATAAAAAAATGAAACTGCCTGTTACATGAATTTGAAGGTGAAAGAAACAAGAAATCAACTTCACAGATTGAAAAGAAGGCAGAACATAAGACTTCAGTTCTCAAATAAGTGTTTACTTTAAATATGATTTTTTTTTTTTTTCAGAAAGATTAGCCCTGAGCTAACATCTGCTGCCAATCCTCCTCTTTTTGCTGAGGAAGACTAAGGCTGAGCTAACATCCGTGCCCATCTTCCTCTACTTTATATGTGGGACGCCTACCACAGCATGGCGTGCCAAGCAGTGCCATGTCCGCATCCGGCATCCCGGCCGGTGAACCCTGGGCCGCTGAAGCAGAACGTGCGAACTTAACCACTGCGCCACAGGGCCGGCCCCTAAACATGATTTTCTAAAGGATTCATGGAGCAATTTTTTTTATTGAGTTCATAACAGTTTACATCATTGTGAAATTTCAGTTGTACGTTATTTCTTGTCCGTCACCATATAAGCATGGAGCCATTTTTGAAAAATCTAATAATTTACTCCCAATGTTGAGATACTATTGCAATTTATAATCATCCTTCACAAAGAAATTTTATTGAAGACCTCATTAATATGTTTTACTTTCATATTTCTCTCAAGACTCTGCCTTCAAAGACAATACCAAATATTTAAGAAAAAAATCAATGGGTATACTTTGCAATTAAAAAAAAAACTTTTAAAAAAGCCTAGGGGCTGGCCCCGTGGCCGAGTGGTTAAGTTTGCGCACTCCCCTGCAGGCAACCCAGAGTTTCGTTGGTTCGAATCCTGGCCACGGACATGGCACTGCTCATCAAACCACGCTGAGGCAGCGTCCCACATGCCACAACTAGAAGGACCCACAACGAAGAGTATACAACTATGTACTGGGGGGCTTTGGGGAGAAAAAGGAAAAAAATAAAAAAAATCTTTAAAAAAAATAAAAAATCTTTAAAAAAGTCTAAAAATAGATTCTGTACAAGTGACCAAATGAAACCCAGACTACATGCCCACTGGAAGAAATTAAGTCAATTTGAGAAATTTCTTACTGAAGTCTAGTAAAAAAGCTCACAGGACTGGTAGACAGTAGGTCTGGGTTATATTCCTGGTTCCACCAACTAATAGGAAGTTAGTTCACCTTCCTGATACTCAGACGATCTATAAAATATGATCAATGCCTGCTTTGCATGGGTATTGTGAGGGTTATATGATATAATGTGAAAGCACTTTGTAAACTATAATAAAAATGTCACACAAATGTAAGATGCAATGTTATTTAGATGTGGCTTACATATCTAACTACTCGAGTCATTTGGAGTGTTTGGCAAGCAGTGAGGATGAACTGGTTGGATGGTTACCATCCTTTTTGATACTAATAAATGCCCTGGTTGTCTCACACTTTATACACACATAGGCACATACTCACAGAGGAATGCCAATGCACCTACTGGAAAAAGTTATGAAGTATTTGTTCAAAATTACAAGTTGAATGTAGCTTAAATGATATCTCTTGTTGTTAGGACTGTAGTTCTTGTTCAGAGACTATCAGCTCAATATAATAACTGTTATTTTCAAATCACAATTAAAGGTTTTCCCCCAGGCATTTGAAACATTATTTAAAACCTTGGGTTGGTTTATGGTACAGACTATCTGTCACTGTAGGAAGATTGGTCTAAACTGATGAAGAAGCAGAAGAGAAATCTCAGGCTACAAAATTTTGTAAGTATTTGCTGTGCCTGTGCCATTTGTCACTCACTCCATTCATGTCTCACATTACTATAACAGCAACATGCATTTTATTCAGCAGTAAAAGTGGAATGATTTTCAAATTTTGCATTTTCCATCTAATCAAAAGAAAACATTACACAACAACAAAACTAAAAGAAAAACATAAATTTATGTCAATGTCCCTGACTCTTTCTCTGGCAGGGGGCTTCTTCTCACTCTCTATACCCTGCCTGGCCCTGCTCACCAAAAAGAAACAACCATTTCCTTAACACTTTGAAATTCCTAAGAAACAAAAAACAAACAGGTTGTTTTTTAACAATCGGTATCAATTGCCCCCAATTTTTCTAATTGTTTTCCATACGTTGTTTCCTTACCAAGCCAGAAACCACGAGGAGAGCAGCGAAGAGAAACCAAGGCAGATACCATGAATCCATGCTGTCACTTCCAGAGGAAAGTCACAAACGAAATTCAGAGTAGTGTTCACCCTTTAAAAGGCAAACATCATAACTTATAACCTTTGATCTCAATGATCCATCTTGCAAGTCAGCTCGCTGTGGTAGCAATACCTCCAATCAAAGAGTTAAAGTCCAGTATCCTTAACACAGCTCTGCAGAGTTGTTGGTTGGTTGTTGGTTTTTTTTTTCCCCTGTATCAACATTCAATAGCCAAATCCTTGCTGAGCCTGGTAATAAAATAAGTTCTCTAATGTACATGTACTGGTCCCTAAGATTATTAAGTGCCACTTGAGCAAAAGAAAACACCAAATTAATTTTTAATCCTAATCTTTCAAATAGTAAACATTTATTAAGCTCCTCCTACTCATGTAGTCCTCTGATGCTTTAGTATATCCAGTTGTGTCCATAGCTTTTTATCTTTCATTTATTTAATAAAAATTTATTGAGTTACAAACTCCATTAAGGTGTTAGAAATCTGGCATATTTGATATTCAGATACAAAGTAACAAAATAGCAACATATCTCACTCCTGAAAATTCCCATCAACAAACTCAAGTGGGAATTAGGATAAAAAGGCAAGGAATGATCACCAGTTTTCTAATAAACTAATATTCCCAATCCATCTCTCAATTCTGTCTCACTTTTTCCTTCTTTTCTTGGGATGACTTCTCTTTAGAGACAGCCTACTCTCTAAGTCAGTTCCCACAGTTTCACTCCCAGCTTAAGTGTGATGCAGGATAATATTTCAGAAATACTTGTTTTTTTCCACAGTATTTCCTTCCCCACTCAAGATTGGTCTTTGCCCCATCCCATGCAAATAGAAAGGATATAAAAAGACACGTAGCACAGACAAAAACTTGGGAGGATGCTTCGTGAATACGAGCTAGTCATTCCCACCCTCTGAGGAGAGGATGAGTTAAAGGGGAAAGTTAAAAACGGTAAGTATGATCATCAGTTCCTCACTTGCTCCCTGGGATCCTCCAGATGTTTTGTGGGACCCAAAACCAAATGGGCCCATTTCCCGGCTGGAGCTGCAAGGAAACAATACACTACAGAAGAAAGCATGTCTGAGGAGGAGGAGAATAATTCCCGTGAGACCAGATGTGATGTGAGCTGAGACATCAGACACCTGACTGCATTCTGTGTGTTGGGATGGGCAGCTCACATTAGAAGTTAGGAAACCGGAAGAAGGCAGGGTAGGAAGTGGCAGTTCCTAGGACTGTTGGAGTCTGTTTTGAACGGTAATGACAGCATATGGACAGAGCCTTACTAGGGATCTCATGGACAATCATTGAGGCATGGCTGAAATTCAACTCCAAAAATGTGTTTTGACTACAACTAATGGATATCCTTTATATCTCGTTCTTTCTGGGGTTGTCAATGAAGCTCTGTAATGCAGAAGCTACACTTGGCTGGTCTAACATCCCTCCAGCTCCCATCACTTGATGCTGTCCCTAGGAAGCCTCATCATGGCGTCTGGAGTCTGATCCCAGGGAGCTGTCTCTGCCTCTGCCTGCTGATCCTCTGCTGCTCTTCATTTCTCCCAGCTAATGTCATGAACAAGAAACCGAGAGCTTGAGATTTTAGGATTTATGGATTGCTCTGAGAGCCCCTGGAACCATCAGGAAAGCAAATTTCTCTTAGGAATATGGTTCTCAAAATCCCCATGGAATATGAGTACATTCTAGACCTGAGGGTAGCAGATTGTGAGTGTAAAAAGCTTTCTAACAGTAAATAGTACAGATATTGCAACAAAAGATCCAAGAAACTTTATATCTTTCCTCTTGTAATGCCCATTTTCTTTACTTATTCTCCCTCCAAAAAGAAAAAAATGTTTTTGTAAGTTATTTCATGAGTTTCCCAATACTCGCTCTTTGTGATATTTTATAAACACTTCTATAACATAATAGGAAGGTACATATATTTGAATATAAATTAAATTAAATGGATCTAGGAAAAAGGAAAAAAATGGAGGTGGAGTGACTAAAGAAGTCCCTGAGCAGCTATGAGAACATGAATTCAATGGGGGCCCAGGCAATGAGAGGGCAGGCAAGCTCACAAGTCATCCGTGTGCCCTGGGATTGAGCACACTAAATCACGTTCTTCACACATATCTTCTAAATCCCTGCCCTGATTTGCCATCTCCTAGTCCATTTTTCAAAATTGTAGTATATTACCATAGTAGTCAGAGTTCTCCAGAGAAACAGAACCAATAAGATGTGTAATAGATAGAGAGAGAAATTTATTTTAAGGAATTGGCTTACGCAATTGTGGAGGCTGGCAAGTCCAAAATCTATAAGGGAGGCCAACAGGCTGAAGACCCAGACAAAAAGTGAGGTTGCAGCTCCAATCCAAAGGCTGTCTGCTGGCAGAATTCCATCTTCTTCTGAGGATCTCTGTCTACTTTTCTCTTAAGGCCTTCAACTGATTAGATGAAGCCCACCCACATTAGGGAGGGTAATCTGTTGTACTCAAAGTCTATGGATTTAAATATTAATCTCATCTAAAAAATACCTTCACAGTGACATTTCGACTTGTGTTTGATCAAATATCTGGATACTGTGGCCTAACAAAGTTGACACATAAAATGAAACATCATAGTTACCTTTTTGTTTCTCTTGTTTTATTTGCCAGACTCTTCATGCTCACCTGTTTACAGGATAGCTACTGGTCACACTAAGGTGACTATTGTTGTCACCTCATACAATTGCCTTGACTGTCAGCCACACCCCTGGCGAATAGAAGGTGAAGATGCTATCTATCGTAGTTTGTGATGAGCATGAACGACAATACAGTCACATCTTTGATACTAGGAAATTATCAAAGGACCAGGAGTAACCCTTGAGATTTTAAGAAGCCAATTGGCTGAGGCAGTGAGGAAAAAGTCTATTACTACACAGGATAATCCTACTTCAAATCCCTGGGCTGATTTCCTACGGGGAGCTTTTATGCAGGGAGCCAGCCCACAAAGGAACTGTGGGAAAAAACTGCTGCAGCAGGAAGAGATAAACAGCTGCCTCCCACCACTATGAAAGGATCACCAGGTGGCTCGTAAAGTTTCACAACCCTAATCTAGCTCAGCTGGCTTGGTGCCACTAAGAATTTATTCCATATGGTATTTGTTGTAAATGGGGAGATGTTGGTCAAGGGGTACAAAGTTCCAATTATACAGCGATGTGACTTGACTCAGCAAGATTGTACTGTGTACTTGAAATTTGCTACAGGGGTAGATTTGGAGTGTTCTCACCATATACACAAAGATAAATAAATAGGAAAATGGTAACCGTGTGAGGTGATGGATATGTTGATTGGCTTGGTTGAGGTGAATATTTCACAAGGTACATGTATATCAGGTCATCAGGTTGTACATCTTAAATATATACAACGTTTGGTGTCAACTGTATCTCAATAAATCTTGGGGGAAAGAAAAAAAGAATTTACTCCAAGCTGGAAGAGGTCTAGAGTGAGCAGCCAGTGACTCTGTGATGGAAATAATGACACCTGCTCCTAAATTGATAGCTGTACATCTATCTCTTGGCACTGTTCAAGAGTGATAACTCCCTCAAACTCAAGTCCAGTTTCCTACCCCTGTGCCTCAGGCCTGCAAACACCTGGAAGAAGGGATTAATCACTCCTTCTCTGCTTTGGTTGCACTTATGTACAACACTCATGGCCCAGGATTATAGTTACTTATTTGTAAATTTGCCTCTCCCAAGTAACTAATTAGAAACTAGTCTCTTTGGAATGTACAGCCCCAGTACTTGGCCTTTGATAGGAGTTTGGTAAACATTTGTTGAAAGAAATGGGAATGAGCTATTGAAAAATCTGTGTCTAGGGGCTAGCCCCGTGGCATAGCAGTTAAGTTTGGCTTGCTCTGCTTCAGCAGCCTGGGTTCACGGGTTCAGATCCCAGGTGCGGACCTACGCCACTCATCAGCCATGTTGTGGTGGTGACCCACATACAAAATAGAGGAAGATTGGCACAGATGTTAGCTCAGGGCGAAACTTCCTCAGCAAAAAAAAGAAAAAAAGAAAAATCAGTGTCTATGTGTGAATTGCTTTTAAAGCCTATCTTATCTCCACTAGGCACATAGGTCAAAAAGCCAATAAAATCACATATTTTATGTGTGATATTTAAAATCAAAATCCTGCATATTTTTGCTCAGCAAGAACTAATATTTTCCCCTGGAAGTAATGGAAGTCTTCGTTCTGATATATTTTTAAGGGTTTCCTGTGTACACATCACTGCTTTGTGATTTGGTTGGGTCAATTAGACTTAGTACAAAGTGACAAAAGGCCTTGTAGAGGGTGGGATTACGTGTGCCCAGCACTAACATGGTTTTAAAAGCTACTCATCTATATAAATGCATTCACTGCAGGCTCACTCCATTCGTTTTTGAGAAAATTTCTGCCAATTACCTAATAACCACGGTTTCGTCTGTCCGTTGTTCTTTAAGTAAATATGGTGTTCATGAAAAAAGCAGCCAGTTCAGCTCACATCTCAAACAATCATACAAGTGCTTTTCCTCAAAAACAGGTAAGTTGAGAGTATCAGTGGAAATTTGGGTCAGCTAAGATGACACTGTTATCGTCCTCTTATTTGCAATCACCAAAGTTCAATTATCTGTTAACAACTTGCAGGTGGTACCTTCTCTGTGCCCGGTACCAAGCACCATCCAGCCTGTCTTTCACTGCATTGGCTTTTTGTTTTGTTCAGTTTGTTTTACAGTGTGTGCCAGCTGAGAAAAGCCACCCAGACATGTGCTAGAATGACAGATACTTTCCAAAGAATGTGCAAATGACTCTATCTGCAGTGCAACAACAGAAAGAGCAAAAGGTAACCAGGGTCACACACATAGTGCAAGACTAGACGGGCGCCTCGGGGAATGAGCTTGACTCTGTTACCTCGTGTTACTAAAGTGTGCGACCGTGAATGGCATTGCTTAAGCATTTGCTGTATCTAAGCAGGAGAAAATTTCCTGGACAGAAAATTTGAGGGAAAGATAGTCTTCTTTCCTCCTTCTG